ATATCACTGGGCCGGTTGAGACCAGGGTCTTATCATTTCGACTTGAAGCTCTTCAACTCAGCTAATGGACACGAAGCTGTCGTTGGTAGTTGCGTTGATTTTGGTGAGGGATCACAATTTGCAGTCATGTATATATCATGCATGCCAAGCCTTAGCAAAGTCCGTATTCTCAATCGTGTCTCCTTACGTTTGTAAGCATGTACAGTGGAGATTGGATATAACGACACTCCTTCGGGAGAAAACAAACTGTCGCTATAATCGATCTGTCACTAAACCCGATTTTTAAGTATTTATTTATTTATTCAACATCTCCTGGCCCGTCCGAAGACTGCCAATAAACATGAGAGGTCAGGTGATAGCCAACCACGGCAAGCTAAAAGGGAAAAAAAAGAAAGATGCTGTCAGAGAGGGAAAGGAGATAGGGAGAGAAAAAGAAAGGGAGGCACATTAATAATACATGGGATCACTTCGGATGAGACAGTGTGGAAAGCTGGACTGTGAATTTCCTGATATCCTGGCATGTCTTAATGCTAGTAGGCAGGTTAGACCAAAGGGAGTATGCTGAGAAGAAAGGGGATTTCAAAAACAGAGAGGAGCTAGCTCGGGGCAGTGATAAGGCATTGCGTGTTGGTCTAGTGGTAACAAACCAGTTGTACTTGGCAATATGTTTCGGGACTTGGGCTAGGAAGATTTTTTGCACAAGGATACAAAGATGCTGCTGATGTCGGGCAAGAAGAGGGTGCGTGGAAGCAAGTTTATAAAGACAAAGGGAGGCAAATGTTTGGTCTTTTCGAAACAGAATTTTCAGAAGCAAGCGTTGATGTACCTCCAGTCTGTGGAGTAAAGTCTGAGACAACCCGCACCAAGCTATATCGCAATAGTCAAATATAGGCAAAATGTACGACTTAAAGAACAATTTTCTGCAGTTATCATTCAAGTGTTGGCATATGCAATATGTATATCAAAATGACAGACACGTATTGCAGGTATGCATGTGAATAACAATAATGCATATGGATTTCAGATGTGCATGTGTTTTGCATGCATAGTTCAAGTCAAAAGTCATGCGTAGCAACTACACCGCTGCACTGCGGCTACAATGTGCAATGACCAGCACGCGTGGAGTGACCCAAACTGGCCAGAGGTCCGGGCCAGAGGTCCGGGCATGTGACACACACATGTCCCATGCATGCCACTCCGTCTGATACAAGAGGAAAGTCGTTATATTAGATGCATTTTCAGGTCTTCGGGCACCAAAAAAGTGTCAGTAAATTCTATCTGTCGTCATTTTTGAGGTCGTTATACCCCCCCCCCCCCCCCCCCCCCGATCTATACTGTACATGTACAGAAAGGACTTTCTAGACGACTTGGGCAACAGAAATTTGTCGCTAAACTCGATTTGTCGTTATATCCAAGGTCGTTATATCCAAGGTCGTTATATCCAATCTCCACTGTACATAAATTCTGTGCGATCAACCAATACTGTCCAATACTTGAAGTATGCATAACATATGTACATTGAGTGGTTGCAAAGGAAAACAAGTCTATCAAGCCATGCCGAGTGCAATGGTGAATCCGCAGTATGTAACATGTCAGCAGTAGCTTCTTGTCTTCTTGTCTGGTTGTCTGGTTGTCTGTGATTTGTGATTAGATGTTATAAGAGATGTTGTAACGCTGCCATGCCCTGCAACGCCGTCAAAGTCCGAAACGTACAACTTCTACTTGTTCAACTGGATTGGTGAAATGGGCATCTGGACTATGCGTCAACAGAATCATAATATTCAATGCCCCAGTGGTAGCTCATACCAAACTATACTACGCGAAGGTGGAAAATATAGCTATGCTATGGTCGGTGCCGAGTCAAAGGAAGTCCACGTTGATTTTATCGATGGCAAGCCACAGCTAGGTGAGTGCTGTTTAGGAATTCAGCTACCGACCACACACTGAATATTAAACCTACTTGCCGTTTTGTCTCCTTCCACACTTTGTAGATTTTAGACAATTGTCCCCAGAACATTGGATTGAGGAATAAACATTGTCCCCAGAACATTGGATTGAGGAATAAACATTCTTCCCAGAACATTGGATTGAGGAATAAACATTGTCCCCAGAACATTGGATTGAGGAATAAACATTGTCCCCAGAACATTGGATTGAGGAATAAACATTGTCCCCAGAACATTGGATTGAGGAATAACCATTGTCCCCAGAACATTGGATTGGGGAATAAACATTCTTTTAAACCATGGGAGTTTAGTTTTTAGGGTTTACCGGATATTAGCGGCCGTCGTGAGTTCCCTTCGGGAACGAACACGATAATTTACTTACTATTTTTTCTGGGACTTTTCAGAGCTGAATCTTGCCCCTTCAGTGTACCTTAAATGACATTTATGAGGCCAAAGTTGTTGCCCAATACAGCGTTGCCACGTGTGTGCTAATGAAGAAAGCATCATTACCTTGTGGGCTGTTGTTGTTGTTGTCAAAGTGGGCCATCCCAATCACGTTAATCAAAGTGACCAAGCAATTGGCCTGGCAAGCTTTACAAAGCTATAGTCCTATCCCTTCCTATGTCAGTGGCCAGTTCAAGTCTGTCAGTTCCTGAGCTATTCTTGATCCTGGGCAATTCTGCTTTGTGATTTCTTATCTCTTCATGCCTTAAAAACAAAAATGGACACCGAGCAATTCCCCATTTACCAGGCTACTGTTGTGTCATGAGTACAGTCTTTACCCCCCCCCCCCTCTCCCCCAGCACTTTATAAAATAGCACCCTCTTTAATCCAGCACTTTATAAAATAGCACCCTCTTTAATCCAGCACTTATAAAATAGCACCCTCTTTAATCCAGCACTTTATAGAATAGCACCCTCTTTAATCCAGCACTTTATAAAATAGCACCCTCTATAAACCAGCATAATGTTCAGCAACCAAAATGTCCTTTTCATGCACATTTCTGGAGAAAGTCAGATTTTGCAATCCAGCACCCTCCTATCCAGCACCCTCCTATCCAGCACCCTCCTATCCAGCACCCTCCTATCCAGCACCCTCCTATCCAGCACCCTCCTATCCAGCACCCTCCTATCCAGCACCCTCCTATCCAGCACCCTCCTATCCAGCACCCTCCTATCCAGCACCCTCCTATCCAGCAGAATTTCCGTAGCACAAATGCTGCCGGATTATAAAGGGACCACTCTACATGTATTGATGCTTTCTACCCGGACTAGGGATAGCCAATGTGTGGATGCTTTCTACCCGGACTAGGGATAGCCAAACCGGCAACACCTTTCTATTTATGCACATCAATCATTATTTTGCATGACACAACAATAATTTAGACGAAGTATATGTCTCTGTGTACGTCTGTGTGTCTATGGGTGTGTCTATGGGTGTGTCTATGGGTGTGTCTATGGGTGTGTCTATGGGTGTATCTCTGTGTGTGTCTGTGTGTCTATGGTTGTGTGTCTATGGATGTGTCTCTGTGTATGTGCCTGTGTGTCTATGTATATGTGTGTGTGTCTGTGTGTATGTGTCTGTTTGTATGTTTTCTGCAGATTCTGACATGGAGCATGTGCTCATTGACGCAAAGTGGGAAGTCCCCAGCATGTACGTTAACAGCTACACCGCCAATGTTTTCCGTTACAATGAGGCAACTGGCAACTTTGACAAGTCGTTCCCGACCACAGCATTTGTTAGTCTTCAGCTTGACCGCCTTCCCACCCTATTGGCAGTGAAGAAGGGTTCTTACCATGTTGTGGAGTTAATGGCTGACATGTTTGGTGGTCGAACGCAATGCTTGGGAACACATCATATTGATATGACCGATGGTGAGTTGAGCTAATGCCATGGATACAGTTTGTATAAATTTTTGTATTTAAATATAAGTTTCTGTGCATGGCACGGTAAGTGGAGTTAGCAACACACCAACATCCTTGCCATAGCGCAACACTTGTACATGCATAACATGCATGCACTCCAAATTCCCGCGCTTCCGCACGGGACTGTGCGGAGTATGCGCATTACTCCAGCTCTCCATTCTGTTGCTTCTTGTTCTTTGCTTTGCTGCGCTGACGGTCAATTTGTCTGACGGTCAATTTGTTTGACAATCGTGGGCAGTTTCTGATCACCACCACCCACTCCATCATCTCTCACGATCATTTCATTCGAAGCCATCCCGAAAGGGAGAGCAGTAGGGGTTGTGAGTCAGGCCGGCATTGAGCCAAGTGCGCCTATATTCGCTCACAAGTGCATCCTTGAAGCCATCCCGAAAGGGAGAACAGTAGGGATCGTGGGTCAGGCTGGCATTGAGCCAAGTGCGCCTACATTCGCCCACAAGTGCATCCTTACTGCATGCTCGTGTATTGACACATCTGAATTCTCGCCGGGTAATTGTTGCCCCAGTTAGTGTCGGCATTGGCCATACTAACGCACAGCGGTACTTGCAATACTAGCTCTGGCATTGGACCAGAATATTGCATATTGTATTGTTGCCTATCTCCTGGTAACAACACGTAATAGCTCCCAAACAGGTCGGCTTGTTGTGTGGTTGGTAATACTATTTATTCCCGTAGCTATGCAAAGGACGTTACTTCAGTAACGTCTGGCGCTAGGCAGGGTCCACACAGCTTTAATTCCGTGTTTGTTTGTTTGTTTGTTTTTGTCATGGGCATGCCTGGCTCTATCCCGTAGCTGTCCCGTACCGTACCATCAAGGTGTGTGTTTGTTTGTTTGTGCCGTCGACATGCCTGGCGCTATCCCGTACCTGTCCCGTACCTGTCCCGTACCGTACCATCAAAAACAACTGGCCATGGCCACAGTATTCAAATAGGGCTTTCAAAACGTGAAGCAACTTGGAAGAATGAGTATGTATGCGAAGTGTATCGGGGGAATGCATGCAGGGCGATCGTGCGGGTTCGAATCCTAGGTTATGTCTTGAAAATAAAATAGGAGAAATTAAAAATTTATAACATCCCTATCCTTTTTTTGCCAAGGTCATCAAGGTGGCAGATGGCGTCGTAATACCCTCGAATGAAGAGAGAAAGTTTATTTCTTTCGCTCAGGGCCCTACGCTATGCTTTTTTGCCTAGCCAATCATGCATGTTATCTGAACTGATGGAAACTTTTTGCAATACAATGATGTAGCCGATCAGTTCGTTGTGGTATGGTTGGGCATTGTAGCCGTCATGGTCGACGTAAAACACTATAGTCAATCAATGGAAAAGAAACATTTCCATCAGTTCTAATAAAATGCATGATGAGCTAGGCAATTGTGATAGGCAACAGTTACCATGGATACAGTGTGCATGATGGTGTAAACCAATGCAATACACTTGCTTGACGGTTGTAATCATCTAGTTGAAAGCCAAGAAACAGATATGAGTGGAGGTTGCCTTTCAGTCTTCGAAGTGCAAACTTGAGTATGGTCGCTCTTTGACATAACCCAGAAGTGATTTCATTTTGAGCTGATGAATATGTGCATCAGCAATATACTAAAGTATGTCGCTGTACCTAGCAGAGCAGATCACTGTGTTCTGAATATGCTTGTTTCTCTGCAGGTACATCTGCAGCACCATTCCAGATGTATGGCATTATTCACCATGAGCGTCTATCATCATCACAGATGCCGACTCGTCGAAATGTCAGCACAGTGGATATCAAGCTTTGGTTGCCACCCATTGCCAAGCACTTGACTGGGAAATTTGACATGTGGAGATTCTTCACTCGCTCGGTAAATATCATTAAAGTCACTGTAACTGATATTGACTGGGTTCCAGGTTGATGTATTTCAGTGTGTTCCAGGTTGATGTATTTCAGTGTGCTCCAGGTTGATGTATTTCAGTGTGTTCCAGGTTGATGTATTTCAGTGTGTTCCAGGTTGATGTATTTCAGTGTGTTCCAGGTTGATGTATTTCAGTGTGCTCCAGGTTGATGTATTTCAGTGTGTTCCAGGTTGATGTATTTCAGTGTGCTCCAGGTTGATGTATTTCAGTGTGTTCCAGGTGGAAAATTAAAGTGACAAATGTTGATTCTTCATGAGCATACAAGTTACACCAATGTCAAACCTACCAGTTGCATGAAATAGATGGTGCATGCCAGATCACAGCCTAGTTACAATGTACACTGCATGACTTGTTGGATATACATATACTAAAATCGGTTGTGGCGACAAACGCGATTAGGCCGGCTGCAGGGACGCTGTAATGTCGCACTCGCCCCAGCACCATTCAAACAATTCCCTTTGGCAGTTCACGGCACGAACTTCAACAAGCCCCGTGAATGCGTACTAGGGGAAGGCTAGACAGCATGTCTCTAGACATCAATAGGCATCGTACGAAAAGCCAGTCAATAGCACTAAAGAGCGAAAGCCTTTGTCACGGTTCGGTTTCACTCGCGTACCGGGCCCGAGCTGCCAGCGCAAACAAATGCCGGGCGCGAGCTGGCAGCACAAATCAAACACCGTACTCACACGAGACCGTTGGGCCAACGGATGGCCACAGCCATCAAAAAACAGGAACAAACCCATCCACGGCTCTTTCTCTTGCTAGCTGTGCTGCTGCGTGCATCCAACTGTTTTGCAATTTCTTTCTTCCTTGTTGCAATTACCCGGCGAGATTTGGCCCAGGCAAGAACCAAAGCTAATTCTACGAGCCAGGTCGCAAAAAAGACCACGCGTCGGCGGGCTAGTCCTGCGTCAGTCCCGGCCACTCAAAGCCCCGCGGCCGCGACCCAGCCTGACTCGTCGCCCGCGTTCACGTCGCAGCAATCTGCCGAGATCTCTCGGGTCGTGCAAGATGCAGTGGCGTCCTGCATGACGTCACTGACAACATCGATGGGTCTACCGGTGGTAATGTTACCTCCACATGCACAGCCAACTGTAGCAGCAGCAACAGCAGCACAGCAGGCTGGTCCAGTCTCTGGTGATGTGGTGGTGCCTGACTCTGAGCCTGAATATGTCCAGCCTTCACTGGCTTCAGCACTAAGACCAGACCAGGAGAGTCTCTTCCTGGACGGCGATTTGCTCGCCCCAGAGCGTCCACCATCCATCCCATTGCCTGCCCTCAGCGACCATCTCACGGACAAGATTATCAAACGTGAGTACGTTGATTTTGGTAGGGTACTGGGAGAGCTGGCTTTTGATACGAGCATGGGTCCGGACAGTGGGTTCACCCTGCAGGGGACGGGGGACCACATCACCCTTGTGCCATCTGCCATTTCGTCGTCATCCCGTCTAAAGAAAGTTGTAGACTTGACATCGTGGTCGGAGGCGTTCTCAGCCTTCGCCCAAGTAGCCCTCCACCACGACCCCGGCAGAGGTCCGGAATTATTCAAGTATCAAAGCACAATCGTGAAAGCGGCCGCACGCTATACATTCGGTGCGTGGTCTGGCTTCGACATGTCGTTCCGTGCAAGAGCTGCACGCAGCAAATCTAGCCTTGCCACGTCAGATCCGGAACTCTGGTCGGAGTGGTTTACAAACTCCATCCTGCCTCCCTGCCGTCACTGCAACCGGCAAGGTCATTTAGCAGTTCGCTGCCCCCGCGCCCGTAGCCTAGCTTCACTGTCTGACGGGCCAGCCGCCAAACGCCCCTTTCCGGCACAGCGGTCAGGGGCTACCGCTCAGCCAAACGCCCCAGCTGTCTGCCGCGACTACAACCAAGGCCGCTGCCAACGCGCAGCCTGTCGCTACGGCCACCAGTGCAGCACATGCTTTGGCAGCCACCCCGCCAAGTCATGCCCAGGAAAGCCAGCCGCCGCCAGCCGCGACCAATAGCTCGCAGTTGCCCAGCTTGGAGACTCGGTCACTCCAGTCACTCACCGGTAACTCTACACTCACCCAGGCCAATAGCACTCACACACTCTGCCCAGCTGCTCACATCTCTCCTACACGCACCCTCGCTCACGAGCCAATCCATTTGCACACGCCTGTAACCCCCATTAACGTTTCTTACCTGCATGACGCTTTGTGTAAGCATCCTGATCCGGCTTTTGCCTCATTCGTAATACATTCTTTGTCTTATGGGTTCGATGTTGGGTTTGCGGGTCCCCGTACCTCCCGAGTCTCTCGTAATCTCAAATCAGCGATTGAGCACCCTGACATTGTCGATGCTGCTATCGGTCGTGAAATTGCCGCAGGTCGCATGGCCGGTCCCTACCAAGAGCCCCCTTTCCCACTTACACAGGTCTCCGGTTTGGGTGTGGTTCCCAAGAAGTCACGGTCGGTGCAAAAATGGCGCTTGATTATGCATCTGTCAGCACCACAGGGCCACTCAGTGAACGATGGTATCCCTGTCGACAAATTCTCTGTACAGTACTGTTCGGTCGACGACGGCGTAAATCTCGCACGGTCCCTAGGCCGCGGCTGCCATCTGTGGAAGGTCGACCTCCAAGACGCATTTCGCATTTGTCCAGTACGGAAAGAGGACTGGGAACTATTATGCCTGTTCTGGCGCGGGCAATATTACGTAGACAAATGCCTACCCTTCGGCCTTCGCTCATCACCATCGCTGTTTAACAAAGTCGCAGATGCCCTCCAGTGGGTCATGTCGCACAACTTCAACGTAGCCCCAGTCATCCACTACTTAGACGACTACCTTGGTGGAGCGACGGACTCTATCGGCGCCCAGCACCAGCTTGACCGTGCCCTGGTAGCCTGCCACGACTTAGGCTTCCCGGTCAATCCAAAAAAGGTGGAAGGCCCTAATACAACCCTGACATTCCTCGGTGTCATGCTGGGCACAGAGCGCTTCGAAATCCGCCTCCCATCCGACAAGTTAGAAGACCTTCTCATTGCCCTCAAGGCTTGGCAACATACCCGCCCTACCGCCCGCAAGTCTGAATTGTTGTCCCTGATAGGTCACCTCAGCTTTGCCTGCAAGGCGGTCCCTGCGGGCCGCATGTTTCTGCGCCGCCTCATTGATCTCAGCACGACGGTCCCGAATCCAAATGACTACATCAGAATCACAGAAGACGCCAAAGCAGACATCCAGTGGTGGCTTGATTTCCTCCCTGCCTGGAATGGCGTCGCCTTCTTCCTAGAACCCACGTGGTCAGCCGCCGCCGATATGGACCTCTACACAGACGCATCTAGAGCCATCGGCTATGGTGCTTTCTTCGCCGGCCGGTGGCTCCAACACCGGTGGCAGAGGCACCAATCCCAGAGATCCATCGCGTGGATGGAGCTCTTTGCCATCGTGGCCGCAGCATCCACATGGGCGCCGCAGCTGCATCTGAAGCGCATCCGCTTCCACTGCGACAACCGTAGCGTATGCGACATCTGGCTCCGCTCACGCACAAAGTGCCCCGACTTAATGGCGCTTGTACGCACTTTGTTTGCCATTGCTGCCCGACACAACTTTCACGTCATAGTCTCCCACATCCCCGGCACTGACAATGCGATTGCTGACTCTCTGTCTCGGTTTCAGATGGCCCGATTTCGCCGACTGGCACCCACAGCAGAAGACACGCCATCTCCGGTGCCCGAGAGCACCTACTCCCTCTGATGTTGGAGGGTCAGGCCTACCAGTGGCTAGGCCTGTCAGCGTCCACACGTGCCACATACGCGACAGCCTGGAAACGACTGCACCAATTCTGCCAACTAGTCGGCACCAAGGTGATTACAGACACCATCATGCTGGCGTTTGTAGCCTACCTGGCGCGTCAACATGCCGCGTCAACCGTCCGCTTGTATGTGTCGGCGATCCGGGCAATTGCCAAAGAAAACGGCAAAGATCTCTCGTCGCGAAGAGTGGACCTCGCAGTTCAAGGAGTGACACGTGCACAGGCCAACCGAACTAAAAACGCCAGCAAGCCAATCCTCCTGCCCCACATGGCAGCTATGCGCAATGCCCTGATACGGTCTAACCTCAACGCGACCGACCGAGCCATGGTATGGGCAGCTATTTGCCTGGGCTTCTTTGCGTGTCTCCGGGCAAGTGAATACACTTCCACAACCGCCACAACCATGTTAGACGGTGGCCTCCGAACAGAAGACCTCTCCATCACGCCGC